TTCGAAAATAACGAAAGGAACTTCAAGCAAGCAAAATACTAGTTCCTGATCGAAAACGTGGCCTCCAGATTTCAACATTATGGTCAGTTGGACTATAGTATGACGACGTAATAAAAGACCGTAACATAAATCTGTTAAACGTTTCCATTGTTAACTCCGTTAACTTCGTGCAGGGATAGCCGAGTTCGAAATGGTAAGGAATAAGCATCAAGGAGATTCGATCGATGGTTAAGAGGGCGATAATGACTTAAAAGCAATGATATCGCCCTTCGGGTTGCAAGGACGTCTGAACCAAAGATCTTTCTGAATAAGCTTACATGTAAACCAAAACGCTGCAGAACACTGTGGACAACTTTAAAATGGACTTTCTGGTCTACGGTGTGGAAATATCGCTAGTTCAACCAAATGTATCGCTCATTAAGTTAACATTATTTTCTGGAGGAATTGTTTTGATGTTGTTTATGTAAACTTTCCAACTGACTTTTACGTTCTCAACATATGGATAACAACACGCATTTGGATAGCGGTTAAATCCAAGTCACTATTTTTCATGAACAACGCACGATCTCTATGTCGTTCACCTATGTTTAATTGAGTGAAGCTTGCTGACTAGTACTTCGCACTTTCCATTGGGAACTGCTCATTTATACATAACGCTACTATCGACCGACTGTACAGATCTAGGAATTAGAAATACTGTCAAACGATTTACTCGCCGTGTTATTTGTTTTGTGAACTCCACTTCAACAAGCCCAGCAACGAGTTACGCACAAGATTCAAAACAGCAACAGCACTTGACTTAACTCCGTACAATTCACTCCCATTTAAGTGGCACAAAATGCCACTACATGCTCAATATTTGGTCAATACCAATTTTATTTCAGTAATTCAATCACCTGTGAAACGTCTGCATCAAGTGGGAAAAAAAAAAACTGTCTTGTTACACATAATAACGCTTAATAACAAGACAACATAACATTACTTGAAAAGAATCTTTAAATCTGGGTTGACCCTTGTATTTAAATGAAAATTTCTCCGAAAGCCTCATGAAAATAAAAAGTCAGAAACCTATAATTACTGTTTTCTAGTGCTACCTTGCTACCGTTTATCTTCATGACCAGCGTCCATCCACCACAACCGCATGAGCCGAGGTCATCAGTCACGTGACAATAAACAGGAATTGTTGTTGATGCCAGCTTTAGGGGATAAGCTTTGTTACCTTCAGGCCTGATGAATATTAAGAAAAGATGGTTTTTCTTGACCTGTGTGAAATGTCCATAACATAGTGGTTCTGTAACATGGAGGTATCGACTTAACTCGTTAAATCTTTTTAAGGAATTTTATTGGTACTTCTGACTAACATAAAGGCAAAGAGGTTCTCGACTTAAAAACAAACAAACAAATTTCTGATGAAAAAATGAAATCGTTTTGTCATTTTGTTATAAGGCATTTCCTTTCATTCAACAATCTATGGGTTGAAGTTCTTTGAGCAATCAGGACTGAGACTGCGCGTGTCATGGCTGACTAACTGATACTTGCTATCTGTTACACGTGGCCCTTCATGCGATCACCATTTATCCTGTGAACAAAAGCCTTGTCGCTAAGTCGATTTTTTTTCTATCAGCTACCCAGTCACCAAATTGTGGACTGTCCATATATTCGTTAGTTTGGGTTTGCTTTTTCGTCTGGCGGAATTTTCGACCCTACCTTTCCTGAAGAGAGTTCAAGTCTTTGACAGTTCAGCCATTTATCTTAAATTGTTACATATTATTCTTTGTTTTATCGTTCTTTCAGCAAACTAATTCAAAGCCTTCTCGAGCTCTCGATATGTTACTTCTAAAAATTTCGCCTGATAATATTGTGAATAATTGTCGTATTTTTTTCTTTTCTTTTTTTTTCAATTTTTCATTTTATTTCACTGAGACCCAGCTCACACTACGCAGAAAAAATGGAAAACGGTGGTCTCACTCTGAAAACACATTAAGTGTTTTCCGTCAACAGTATGCTGGTAAAATTTGAAACGTAGCAATCACCGGCCACTTCGAATTCTTATTTGTGTTTGAGGAAAACTCGGGTAGAAAATGAGATGCTTATCGATAAGTCATCGTTTTCCAAAAGCTTCGTTTTCAAAATGTTTCCGTCCACGCCAGAAAGCAAAGCCCACGTATTCAAATTCCTCTGGTTTGAAGAACGTCTTCGTTAAGCTCCGTTTTCGTGACGGATTAGTGTGGACGGCAGGCCCAACCGTAAAGTAATGGCTGTTTTTTGTTGTTGTTGTTGTTTTTTCTCAAATTTCTCCTGCGTAGTTTGGAGGGGGGCCTAATTTGTACATTACACACCCCCTGATCTATCTTTGCTTATATGTGGACTTTGTCCTAATATTTGAATTAAAGAATCAACCATTTCACGTATATCCTAATAAAATATCGCTGCTAAAGCTTTTTCATTAACATGACGATATCTCGTATTTAATGCCATAGGTTAGGGCCTTTCAACTTACAAGTTATTCTCCAGGAGTTCCTTGCAAGTCCCTGGTGGATCTGAGGGGAAAAATTATAAGGGTTTAAGATGGAAGTAGCTGAGATTATACAGTTAATCGTTAATGTAGAAATAAAGAATTGTACTTGCGATCCAATAGTACTTTAATTTGTCTGTAGTATAGACCACTATAACACTATTATATTTTAAGTACATCGCTCAAGCGAGTTTACCAACTAAACGATCTGCTGTTTTACCTAATTTGCAGTTTTCTCCGTTAAAGTATCTTGGACAGATGCAAAGATATCCCTTGACTGTAAATCCATTCAGGCAGGTTCCATTATGAAAGCAGGGACTACTGGAGCACGCATTCTGATAGGAAAACAAAAATGAGAGTAATATGCACACCACCCTTCCTTAACCAGGTTTGTAATAGCCCTGGTTTGTAGATATCATCAGTGCTACTTAACACTATAAAAGATTAGAATCTATAACCTATGCGATGCAGGAGGAAACAAGAATACGAAACAAAATATATGAAATAAAATTGACCACTTCATAATGTTCCAACGATTAGTTTAAGTAGTTTTAGTTTTTCTTTTAACGCTGCGTTGCGCTTTGAACTTACAACTTTAAATTTTAGACTGAGCTTTCCGTCTTTGAGCTAAATTACTCTTTGGGCATGCAGATGAGTGTACATCATTCAAGCAAAATTTTAATCACTCACCTCAGTGCTAATAAAGGTAAAGCCCGCTCGTGGTTTAAGGTGTTCAGGATGTAAAGAGTGATCCGAGTCGCTCAGCTCGCAAATCACTTTGTCGTTTATCGGTGCGCCGATGTTGATTGACACGCAGCGACTCTCCAAAACACATTGACTTCTGCAGGGATTACGTACATCCAGTGGTAGAGTAAGTTTCTTGATCACGTGACCCTCAAGCAAATACCCATTCTTTACAGAAGTGAATTTGATATGACGCTTACACGTGTCTGCAAATTAATAAAGCAAGGTACATTGGAGGTTTATTCATTGAACTGTAGATGAATATGGACATATTTGTCATTTGTAAAGTGTGGTGGACGCTTTTATTAGACCGGACTTATTTTGCCATGTATAGAAAGCGATTGTCTAGCTACAGAGTCGGATTTTAGTCTTGATCTCATTTCCAGCTTTTTAAACATAGCAAGATAAAGTAATATCCATGCAGAAATGAAATACCTGAACGAAAAAAAAAAAAAAAAAAAA